ATCAATATTTAACATCCCTAGGACCTACATAAATAGTTCTCCCCTTGTCTCTGAGAGTGATTTTTGGCATTTCAACTTCTGGAAAGTGTGTTTGCCTTGCATATTAGGGGGCAAGGTCCCCGTTGGTGATGTCTCATGCACCCCCATCCCACAGGCAGTCCTTTAACCACTGCAACCAAATTGGAGCACACATGACCTTTGTTAGAGGCTACTTTTCAATTTAACTTTGACACTTGGGTAAGTTGGTAAAAGCAGCTTTGAAATGTATGTTTGTGGTTTGTAGGATGAGGTCATAACGCAGTGTTCAATAGCTCATGACTAAAACCCCACGCTCGTATTACTGTGTTCTTCTAAGGCCTTGTCTTTGGTAGAGTTTTTTGGGCTCTACTTGAATGCCAAATAATTCACGATAGCTAATACATTTGTAAGGAATCTAGTCTGGACATGCACAACTTGTCTGTACCTGGCTACAGATGTTTGTAGTTTGCTCAAGCTTATCCTTGAAACTATAGTCCACACAGTGTCCCTTTCAGACTAAAATCGTGTGGATATGGAAAATGTTTTTACAAAGCAGTACCATTTGTAAAATTGCAATGGTTGATGCAGTTAAATTAACCCTGGAATTGGGAAAGGCTAGGCTATTTCTCTCACTTCCAATTACACAATAACTTAAGAACTGTTTTTGCTGATGCTTACTTAGGTTGATTTCACTGTAGAGCTGCCCAATGATCAAGCTTTCTTCTTTTTATTAGATGCTAGAAAGCCGTAGTTGGAACCATTGTTGCAGGAATTCCAATAAACCTATTTGCTGATTTCCATTGCCCACCACCCCTTTTTTTAAAATTAACACCGCATCTAAAAATTGACTCTGCTCAAAACCTGGAAAATAATCCCGTGAAATTTCTACTAATGCAGATACTGTGTCCTAGTACTGGAGGATATATAGTGCAATACTAATAGCATGCAGTGAAATATTTACTTTAAAATGTTTGTTTCATGAAATAACCTTTTTACTAAGAAGTTTATGGACAAAATATAGTGGCAATACAGGTATGTAACAAATTTAGAAGGAAATGGATGAAACAGCAGATGTAAAAAAATATAGGGAAAATAGCCAATAACTTCATATTTTTGAATCCCAACAATATTAAGCAATTGTAAAATATTAGTTATCCATAAACCTAATAAAAATTAACATGCTCTAGGAAACCTAACTCTAAAATCTATTCCAGTTGGAAAGTGAAACTGAAAATAAAAACACAAATTAAGAATCATGTTTGTTGTGTTTAAAAATTCTTTGTATGTTGTAGGGATGTTAAATCGCGTGTGACTAATTGCAAAATGCATTGACTATCGAATAGTGGATAGGGCATGTCCGCCTTTGAAGTGTAGAAACTAGGGCTGTTGCTACACTTTACAGGTGAAAGTGCCACATGGAGCCTGGGATCAGCTGGGGACTGCCTGCTGACCCCAGGCTCTGTGCGGCGCTGCGGCTTTGAAATGCCGGTGTGGGAGCCCAGAGTCAGGGTCCTCTTGGCATTTCAAAGTGGCAGCGCCGTACAAAGTCTGGGATCAGCTGGGGATCTGGGCCCTCTCTCCATGAATTTTTGTCATTCTTTTTTAACCCCATTATTTTTTCAGCATCCACAACATCTTTTTGCAATGAGTCCCACACATTGACTTTGTGATTTCTGTGAAGATGTACTTCCTTTTGTTTGTTTCTAAATACGCTGCCTCTTAATTTCATCAGGTGAGCCGGGGTCCTTGTGTAATGTGAAGAAGTAAATAACATTTCCTTATTCACATTTGTCTCACCAATATTTTATAGACCTCTCTCATATCCCCCATTAATCATGTGTTTTCCAAGCTGGAAAAGTCCCAGTCTTTTTAATCTCTCTCCATATGGAAGCTGGTCAGTACATCTAAATAATTTTTGTTGCCCTTCTGTACAATTTCCATTTCTAATAGACATATTCAAGGTATGGGCATTCCAAGGATTTAGATATACTGGTTTTATAATTATTGCCTGTATAAATCTGTCACTTTCCTAATGGTTCCTAACATTGTCTGAGCTTTTTTTTGACTGCTGCTGCACATGGGGCTGATGTTTTCAGAGAACTATCCACATTGACTCCAAAATTTCTCTTGAGTGATTATACCTATTTTAGATTGTTTTCCCTCATGCATTTCTTTGAATTATCAAGATTGACTTTGACCTGCCTTTTGTTGCCCACCAACCCAGTTTTGTGAGATCCTTGGAGTCAGCTTTGGACTGAACTATCTTGACAAATTTTGTCACCTCATAATTTACCCCTTTTCCCAGATCATTTGACTGTTGAAAAACACTAGTCCCAATACAGATCCCTTGGGGACACAAATATTTACCTCACTCCATTTTGAAAGCTGGCCTTTTATTCCTACTCTTTATTTCCTGACAATTAACAGGTTACTGAACTGTCAGAAGACGTTCTTATACCATGAAAGCTAACTTTGCTTAAAAGCCTTTCTGAATGTACAAGTATGTGATCTAATATCTAATACCTCTGTCCAATACATTGGTATTATTTTCCTTGTACGAAAGCCTTCTTGGTTCTTCCCTAGTAAAATCTTTACAATATTTTAAATCAATTTGCCTGGTTCTGAAATTAGGCTTATCAACCTGTAACTGACAGGATTGCTTCTCAAGCCTTTTTTTTTTAAATATCATCATATAATCTATCCTCCAGTCACCTGGTACAGGAGTCGATTTAAATGGTAGGTTACAGATCACATTTAGTAGTTCTGCTGTTCTGTATCTGAGTTCCTTCAGAACTCCTGGATGAATACTGTATGGTCTTGGTTCCTTATTACTGTTTAATTTTTCAATTTGTTCCAGATTTGTCACCCAAAAATAATGGCTTGGATGTGGGAATCTCCCTCACATCCTCTTCAGTAAAGACCAATACAGTGAATGAATTTAGCTTCTCCATAATGGCCTTATATTCCTTGAGTGCTCCTTTAATAACTTGATCATCCGACATTTCCTCTAATTTCTTTGGCAGGCTGTCTGTGTCTGATGCAGGTATTTTTTTTAAATACCTAGTACACGTTGATTTAACATGGAACAGAACTTAATAAATATCACTGAAATAGAAATACCTGTGAATACTATTAGGTTAGAAAGAAATCTTTTAGACTTCATCCATTTTCAGTTATTGTCCTTAATGTTTGGGATGAAAATTCTAAACTACAATCAGATTATTTAAAGGATAATCTCACTTTATCTCCATCAACAATGAATTTGTCAGAAGGCAAGACTAAGCTACCAGTGTGATGTCCCATCTCCTAATATTTTAGAATCTTATGGGGGCTTCAAATAAGAAATTCAATTTCTTAGAAAATATAAAAGGAATCACTGGAGAAACATGTTCCATAATTCACAGTTTAAAAATTATGACTAGGATTGTCAACATGTAGTCGACTGCTGAGGCAGCAGCAGGGTCGGTGGCAGGCAGGAGCCAGTGCTCACAGGGGGCCAGTTTAAAAACTGGCCCCTAATGAGCAACTGCTTCTGCCCCCATGTGTAAACAGCTACATGTTTACATGTAGTGGTTACATGTTTACACAGATACCCAATAGCTAACATTCCTAATTATGACACCAATACATTTCAGTGGAACAATTTATCTGTAACCCAAAAGACATTAAAATATCGAATTAAATGTTAAAAATGTTGCTTTTGAATATAAATTGATCCACAATGAAAAGACAAATAAATATGTATTGCTTCAGGCAAGAGAGTCTCTATTAAATATTTAAGTTAAATTGTGTTGTGGCATGTCTTATTCAGAAATGTGCATTGAAATATTTATTTAGAATGAAACATATTTACATTATATAGTTTGCTAATCTATTTTTCCCCTGGTTAAACTTACAAATATTAATGCCACAAAACCTCAAATTAATGCAATATGTCTCCAACCTGGAAGCCAAGAACTAATAGACCGCACTTCTCCATAAAAAAAATGTTTTTTGTTCAATAAGGACAATTACTAATAGCTAACTGCATTATTAAGATCTTTTATGAGCAACTTGAGTATGAAAGAGTATTAAAATCAAAATCTGTGTCCGGGTAGCTTTTAAAATTGGTTTGTAAATGAATTATTTGTGAAAAGGTACAGGACCGACCTTCCTAAAATCCACTGTTTCTCCACAAAATAAGTATAGGGCCTGCAACGGTAATGTAAGTTTTCTTCCCAGTTTTCCTGTATTTCTGAACCTTGACCCAAAAGGCTAAAAGATTAGCTTAGTCCCATGTCTGTTCAATCCTTACCTCTTGTTAGTGAAGCTTCTAACCTAATTGTGGCAATGATGTTTATGATGTAGATACTTGTCCACTAGGAACTACGGAGGACCTTACTTTTCTTTTTCCCAGAAGCACTGAGCAACCGCAATCCAACTGACTTCAACTGAAATTGTAGATGCTCAGCATTTCTGAAAATCAGACCACAAATGGAGATGAAATAATTTTGCATAGATGATACCATTGAAGTGGATTGGTGAAGAAAAGCTCCATATCTTCTTTCTTGTCCTCTAAGTCACCTCATTCCCTGTTCTATAGTTAGTTAAGCAATATGGTAAATATTGGAGTTAAATTGTTAGGAAAGCAGGTGATTTGTGGGGCAAGATTTCCAAGGCACAAAGGAGATAGTTGCCTTATTTCTGTTTGTGACTTCTGAAAATCTTTCTCCTGTAATGAATGTAAAGGATGGTTATTGCAATGAGTTACAGAACTGCTGCTGGAAGATAAGTTGCTGTAGTTGTGACAGTGTTGGATGCTGACTCCACTTTTTCATGCCTGACAGTATTGTCTAGCAAAGTGAATTGGCAGTTGAATACAATGTGTTTCTCTGCTCAGATCCCATGGTATTTATGGAGTAGAGCATTTAAGTAATTAAAAGAGGCTCTCCCTTTTTCTCTGTGTTGTGCTTTAACTGTAATCTGTTTTATTTGCCCTACAGGATAGCTGCAGTCACTGTGGACAATAAGTACAGATGCTGGTGGTGAGCTATGGCGGCTGATGATAAAGTTGCCATTTTAACTGATGATGAAGAGGAGCAGAAGAGAAAGTATGTGCTTGCTGATCCTTTCAATGGAATTTCCAAGGAGCAAGATCATCAGCCTCAAAATGAAACTCCTTCAACAGAGACTACCACTATCCCAGATGAGGAGTTAGACTGGTTAGAAAGACACTGTGTCAAAATAAATAATGATCTTCTGATCTCCAAGGTCTTTTATTTTTTCTTTTATTCTGCATATGGCTCTCTTTACCCATTGCTTCCTGTGTATTATAAGCAGCTGGGCATGTCACCTAGTCAGAGTGGACTCTTGGTGGGCATCAGATACTTTATTGAGTTCTGCAGTGCTCCTTTCTGGGGAGTCGTGGCAGATCGCTTTAAAAAAGGGAAAGTTGTCCTTCTCTTCTCTCTTTTATGTTGGATTTTATTTAACCTGGGGATTGGATTTGTTAGACCAGCCACTTTAAGATGTGTACCAAAGGTTCCTCCACCACCTCATCCCTCCAATGCCAGTCACCTTGTAACATCGCTGCCACAAAATGCCTCCATTTCGTCTCTCTTAACTACAGCTAGTGCTACATCACAAAAAGGTCGTGGGAAACGGCGCCTATTAGCTAACAGTCCTCCACCTTTGGAATGGTTTCCATTTTCTGCTCCAATTGGAGATGGAGACCTCGCCTTGGATAACAACAATACACATTTTATTTCAAAGAATAGTACCACTCACCCAGGACTGCCAGGAAATCTGACCCACCCTACAATGCCGCCTGTTGTCACTACAAAGCCAGCATCTTTTGACCATGTCATGCTGATTTATGATCATCAAGAAGTAGAAGCTATCTTTCTACTCATTCTCTTGGTTGTCATCATAGGAGAGTTTTTCAGTGCCTCATCTGTTACCATTGTGGACACTGTGACTCTTCAGTACCTTGGCAAACACAGGGACCGCTATGGCTTGCAGCGGATGTGGGGTTCTCTGGGCTGGGGACTTGCCATGCTTTCAGTGGGCATTGGTATAGACTATACGCATATAGAAGTGATCATTGAAGGTCTGGGGTGTAAAGCTCCTGAATACAAGAACTACAGGATTGTTTTCATAGTGTTTGGTGTACTGATGTCAATGGCATTAATTGTGGCCACCCAGTTCCGATTCCATTATAACCACTACAAAGAAGATGAAAACAAGAGGAAAGAAGTAGAGATCCCACAGGTGGAAGGAAATGCCTCCACTGAATCCTCTGATGATAGTCCCAGCAGCCTAAGCCAGTCTCAGTCAATCAGTTTTTGGGACCTTATAAAGCTCCTTTGCAGTATACAGTATGGATCTGTGCTGTTTGTGGCTTGGTTTATGGGGTTTGGGTATGGGTTTGTATTCACCTTTCTCTACTGGCACTTGGAAGACCTGAATGGCACTACCACCCTCTTTGGAGTCTGTTCCGTCTTGAGCCATGTGTCTGAGCTGACTGCCTACTTCTTTAGCCACAAGTTGATTGAACTGATTGGTCACATCAGGTAAGCAAATGACAAAAATCACTAAAGAACTGTGCATGTGGTATTGGAGCTAAATGTGCAGAGTATTCATGGTTTTTCTATTTTAAAGAGACTCTTCCTGTTTAATCTGCTTTTTGACTATATTTGCACTGCTTGGAAATGAGACTTCTTGTAAGTTATACTCTTCCTGGCTGAGCTGAATGGTTCTGCTTGGAGCAGATACCCTCTCCCGGTCCTGCAGACAAGCTGGGTATTCAGGCTAGCTCACTTATCTGAACTGTTGGAGACCACCATCAGTGAAGATATCAATATTAGTCAGTACCATCCCTAGAAATATGTCCAGAAGTGACATTTTGTTGGTGCTAGAACACTGTATATCCAGAAATAGTGTAGTCTCTGATACACTAGGCAAGATCAGAGTTCAGTGCAGTAGAAACAGAAGAGGTAATATATAAAGATTCTTGTAGCATATACCCAAAGATCAAAAAATGCTACAAACTGGTGAAAGTTGATCATGGATTTTTTTCTAACAAGTCTTATTTTTAATACAATTCTTTCCTCCTATCTCTTAAATTCCTAATGTGACACTGAGTCTGTAATATATTCCAGTGCTATAACTTTTATATTACAAAAATACCTTGAATATATTATGTAGAGAATGGAACTCGGTTACAATCTCTGAATTACTGTTTATTGTAGATGTAAACAATTAGGCAACAATTCTCCAAAACCACTCTCATCCCCTATTTTAAAGATACCTGTTGTGACCCACATATATTTAGATACATGATTGCCTTGTGATGTCAGTGTTAATTTTAAACATGTATATAATTATAACTTATTCTTCCGGACACCCAAAATGTATTTTCAGCACTTTAGCGATATTTGGCAGTTTACCCTTGAAAGGATTACTTTAAAGTGTATCCTAGATGGTTCTGCTTCACAACTCCAGTTTTCGTTTGAACAACAATCTATACGGGGTTTGTTTATTTTGAAGTGTAATAAAATTGTCACTCCTCAGGGTGGACCCCTAAATAGAGACAAAACATATTTTCACAAAACAATATATGTAGTCTTATTCCTATGCCCTCTTCACACACATCTAGATAATAGATCCTTGGGCATCAGTGCATTTTCAACCATTTGGGTTGTGCAGTTGTTTTGCCATGTCCTGTTTGTTTTCAGTGAGTTGATTCCACTGGTTGTCTCTCTCTTGATGTCAACCAAAGTCTGTTTCAAGTGATCTCTCAGGTTACCGTGCCAGGCATTCGGGATATCAAATTTTATTCCAAGTAGCATCTTTAGGCTTTTAGTTAATTCGGGTCCATTATTGGTGAAGCTGTTATGTTTTCATATAGTTCTTCCACTTAAGTAGGTTGCTTAATAAGGCTAAAATAGTTTCATAACTTCAAATTTTATGCTTAAGTGGCAGGCAAAGGAAAAGGAAGAGTGTAATTTAATAGCAAAGGATAATTTTCTCTCCGACAATGCTGAAACCTTGAGAGTGTCTCCACACCTTCAACATGAAAATGTCTTGTTTGGCATATTAAATTTGCTTTCTTCCTCTCATATTAAATATATTGAATATTAGTCTTATGTGAAAGTTGCTAGATGAATTGCACTCTAAAAATATGTTTTTCCTCTGACATTTATTGTTTCTGTTGAAAAAGAAACATAAATAATCAGCTTGCAGTTATGAAGCACTATGTTTGTTTTGACAAGAGGTCTTGTGCCGGATGTGTAGAAGAGGTATATTACTCTGGATATACTACAGGTTGTACTTCCTTTAACTGGAACTCTCTGGTTCAGCATAAGGATGTTAAGGTCTAGTTGACTATCCAATAAGCAAATGCTTATCGGCTAGTCGAGTCGGCTAGTCGAGTCAACTAGTCATTCTCCCCTCCCCCTTTTGCTGCTTCTGTCAGATAGAGGCAGCAAAGGTGGGGGGGAAGAGGGAGTACTTCAAAGTGGCAGCACCGCACAGAGCCCAGTGCGGTGTTTCAAAGTGGCAGCGCCACATGGAGCTAACCCCGGGCTCTGTGTGGAGCTACCCCTTTGAAACACCATGGCTGTGTTTCAAAGGGGAAGCGCAGCATTTCAAAGCAGCAGCACTGCATGGAGCCCACGGTCAGTGGAGGACTCTGAGTCCCCTGCTGACTCTGGGCTCCATGCGGAGGCTTCCACTTTGAAATGCACAAGAGTCCCAGCAGAAGTCCCTATTGGGTAGTGCATTTCACTAGAGCCCTTGGGCTCTTGTGCATTTCAAAGCAGAAACACCCTTGTGGAGCCTGGAGTTAGCAGGAGTTCCTGTCGGCCCCGGGCTACATGTGGAGTTCCGCATTCTTCTTTTGAAATGTACAAAAGCCCCTATGCAGAAGAAGTGCCTATTGACTAGTCAAGTAGTCAATGGAAATTCCATCAACTACTCGACTAGTAAATTGACTGGTATTTAACATCCTTAGTCTGGCAACATCTGTGGTGTGGCAAGCCTTGAAATTTACATTTATATATTGACTTCAAAGGTGTATAAGTGAACAAGAGATAATAATTCTATCCTGTCTGTTTGCATGCATACAGTGCAATTGTGGAGATAACCTGGACCTGGGACACGCTCATGTTAAATACATAATTTTCGTTGAAGGTCACAGTGACATTGAAAAATGTATAATAATCATGAAAAGAACCATCATTAGCAGATTATAATAAAAATGGGTTTATATCTGAACAGGATACTACCAGTTTTGAAATATAGCTCACATATCCAAAATTATTGGATTCGGCAATTCCTTAACTCCTGGCTGCCTACAGTGCCTTTTAAACCATGATTTTTTTCATAAACCTTTGATGTTCCTAATCTTCATATCAATGAGTTAGTTTACACAACAACTAATTATAAAGCTTTATTTTATAATGCTCTTGCGTATGCAACCTTAGGAGTTAAGATCAGTTCTTAACATTTGAGATCTATTTACCCCCCTGAATATTTTTCTTTATATTGAAGTAGAACCCACAATGTGCTAGCTATTGTATGAACATATGGTACATAGAAGAATTTCTGTAATACAGACCCTAAAGTCTCTAAAAATGCATACAGGGGATGAGAAGCTAAAACATTCAAGAAAAGTAGTCAGGACAATCTATCCTATAGCTTCAACAAGTTACTTCAATTTCCTGGAGTTTTCAAATTGTTCTTGATAACAGTACAAAACCATAGGTTTATTCCTTTTCTTTCATGTATAATTTAATCTGGGAAGAGAAATGGCAGGATTGTGGAAGTAAAAGGGTAAAATGTAAAAGCTTATCGGATAAGCCCCAGCAGCCCTGGGACAATGGAGTCCCAGTGGTCCCTGGCCATTGGAGCTACAGCAGCTCTGAGGTGAGCAGAGCCTGATGACCCTGAGGCAGCAGGGACTGTTGGGAGCCAACGGCCTTGGGGGCAAGGGAGCTCCACTTAGGTCTGCTGAGGGACCACAGGGGACCCTGGAGTCCTGACAGCAGAGAGATGGAATTGACCTCCCCATGTCCGGCAAACTCCCTCATTCAGAACCAGTCAGGTCCTGAGGGTGCTGGACCAGGGAGGTCCAACTTGTACACTAATCATTAGTGATGTTTAATGTATTTTAGGTAAAACAGGGATAATCAGATGAGACCAGGGTTGTATATTGTAAGTCTGTATAATTTATTAATGGCCCAAAATCAGAATGGGAACAATCTTGGCATATGCAGAGTTAAGAGTTCTGTGTAATAGTGGGAGGGGAAAGCTTCCTTCCACGCTACACCTAGCCCTGAAGACTTTGTAGGTCTGTTGTGAGGGAAATGACTCTGATTTTTGTGTTACGGTGTGGAAAGGTCACACTGAAGTTTGTTTTACCTTCCTTTAACCCATACTGCTAGTGAAGAAGTACACTGATGTCTCTGTGTTCTACCTCTCCTTTCTAAAAGAACAGACACTCTGGCTATAATTTTTCTGATAGCCTAACGCTAATACCTGCACTGTCCCTCCCGCCTAAGTTGCTGGAGACAGGCACAGGCTTGATTCTTTGTAGTCACATGCTCTGACACAGATAAATAGGAAAAATATGCATCAAACTGTAAATGTCAGAGGAGAAACATATTTTTTTAGACTGCAATTCATCTGGCAACTTTCACATAAGACTAATATTCAATATATTTAATATAAGAGGAAGAAAGAAAATTTAATATGCCAAACCAGTCATTTTCTTGTTGCAGGTGTAGAGAGACTCTCAAGGTTTCAGAATTGTCTGTGAGCTGAAATGAAAATTAGTCTTTGCTACTAAATTACTCTTCTTTTTACTTTGTCTGCCACTAATTATGTGTAAAATTTGAAGTTAGGAAAGCTATTTAGCCTTATTAAGCAATCTACTTAAGTGGAAGAACTGTATGAAAACATAACAATTGCTTCCCCAATAATGGACCTGAATTAACTAAAAAACTAAAGACACTATGTTACACTGAAATTCTGCTTACTTTTTTTTTGTTTTATTGATTTTTTTAAATAAAGAAACAGATATTGAAAAGTACAAGAAGGTAAATGACTTACTGCTAAATTCTGCACTCTTCACAGGCTGGCCAATGGAATTGTGGGGCCTTACAATATAAGTCTGCAAGACAAGCCAGAACAAACTCGGACAATGATATACAGACATAACATGTCAGGGTGTGGTTAGAATGGTAAACAAGGAGAAGGTGTACATGAATAGGGAGAAGAGAGGTGGAGGGGAAAAGAGGATAGGTGGAATGAAGACATATGCCATTCTTTGAGCCATCTCAATATTTTATGTCTAAATGTATCTAGAAAAGGGGTCCAAATTTCTTCATTGCCAGAGAGAACAATTACCTCAATTTGAACACTTTTCATTGATTAATAGACTGATCTGAATACCACTGTTCTATTCTGGGCATAAACCTATTCTTCTGGTTGCTTCCTAGTTTTTATATGCTGGCACTTAGCTATTTTGTTTGCGTGTCATATGGAGGGTAGGATGTTTAAATCATCAAGGCCGGATTTTCGAAATAGCTCTTATGTACACACCTAAATGAAATAGACAGATTTTCAAAATTGTTTAGTGCCCTTTGTTCTCCTTGGGAACAATAATTAGAGCTGGGCCAAAAATTTCACATGAACAGTTTATTCACTGAAAAATGCAATTGTAGTTCAACTGAAACTATTGGTAAATTTGACAGAATTTACCAAATAGTTTTGATCTCATTATTTTGTTTTCCGTTCACAAACAGCAGGGAGAGGCAGTAGCAGTGTACTATGAATTGACACTGTGAATGACAATGAATAGTTGGGCCAGGGAACGAGTGTAAGGTTTTTCAGATTTTTCAATTTTGGTTCACTCTAAACTTTTTATTATTTCATAACAGTCATTGAACAGAAAAAAAATCAGTTATTTGCACAGCCCTGCAAGACAGCTGTGTTGTAGGATCTGAGAGAGAACTGGAAAGGTGAGAAACATCAAAGCAGTTGCTCAATGTTTAGGATGAGGGCTCCATAAGTACTTACTGGCTTTTAAACTGAAAGGCTCAACACTTGGAATCAGGCTGCTTCTGATTAGCAGCTTAAACTTTTGACACCCAAATATGATCATCTTGGTCATTTTGGATTCTATTTATAAATATCTAGCTGAATGTCTTGAAAGACTAGCAATTGGATGTGTTAGTGACCAAAAAATAGTGTCAAGTATCAGAGAGGTAGCCGTGTTAGTCTGAATCTGCAAAAGCGACGAGGAGTCCTGTGGCACCTTATAGACTAACTGAAGCGTAGGAGCATAAGCTTTCGTGGGCAAAGACCCACTCGCATCTGACTAAGTGGGTCTTTGCCCACAAAAGCTTATGCTCCTACGCTTCAGTTAGTCTATAAGGTGCCACAGGACTCCTCGTCGCTTTTGCAAAAAATAGTGGTATATGCAACCAAGCAGGAAACTCTGAACTCAGATTGTATTCTTTATTTAATGTTTACTCCTGTTATGTTTCTGAAGTAATGGAGACTAGCACACAAGAGAAGTGGGTGTGGAGGAGACATGAAAAGTGTGGTTGCTGGTTAGGACATTTTTCTCTTTGGGAGGAAGTTGGCAAGAAATTGTATGTGGAGGAGTCAATCAAGGAAAAAGAAGTTCAAGTTGTTCGAAAGGAAGACGGTAGAGATGAACGGATTAAAGGAATACATTTGTTGTCGTTCGTGTTCACTACAGATTTAATCGCCAACCCCTCTTTGTCCATTAATGTCCAGCCTTGCCATTGCTTCCCATTTTCTGCTCTAAGTGATGCTCCAGTGTATTCTGTCTTGGCAACACACACCAGTTATGGACCCTACCACCCCCCCCCCCC